CTGTAGTCTAGTCAACACAGAAATACATTAGAGTGAATTCAATAACTTTAAGCACTTTTTGTCACGGAGCTTTCTGTGGCGATCAGGTGTTGAAATCGTAGGATTGAAAATAATCCAAGATATTTGAAAACGAACAAAGACATTTGCTTTACTGTTTTCCACCCCCTCTTTCTTACCACAAGGACCATGTGGAGTTCCCAAAGGCACAGTAGTACTTTAGGGGTTGATGAATTTTACACACCTTTAGTATAATGAGGGAAGTTGTAATCGGCTTTATGCCGAGCGTCACGTGACCAAACCGGAAAACGGGTCTCATTGCATCCGCGTGTCAGAGAAAGTGTTAACGGCCGTAAGAACTAACTACGATATCTATGGATTTTTATAAGGTAATCAGCTAACCTAATAAGTTCACTTTGTTATTGGTGTTTTATGCTATTTAAATATCTAAACGTTAGTGTGAAGAAGAAAAATTGAAAAACATTTAAATATCAATCTGCACATGCGAGGGACATTGGTTATGCTCATTTTTGCTTGCTCCTTTTAAGTTATCTTGAGTAAAACCGAAAAAAATGTCATGAAGCACACACAAAAGACCTGAATCGGAAGCGATGTGATCTGTTTTCCGGCTGGGTCACGTGACGCTCGGCATAAAGCCTATTATCTGATTGGTCAGTTTGAACGTCTCACATTTGGGTTTTAAGGCCGTTGCACATGCTCACTGAGTCCGAAATTTTCGTATGCGTTTTTTCGTATTCGTGATTCGGTGGCTCTGAGTTGTCAAAACACCATTCAAACTGCTTGCTACCTATGCAAAAACCCCAGAAAATCGAACCCGATCCGTTTTTTTTTATGACGGATGAAAGTTTCGGAGGCAGTCTGCAAGCGTGATTGACATAACGTGAGGTCGTATTTATTTTTTAACGTGCGAAAACTTCAGACGCGAATTTCGGACTCAGTGTGCAAGGGCCTGAAGTCACATGGTCAGTAACTGTTGTTCTCTCTCTCTCTCTCTCTCTCTCTCTCTCTCTCTCTCTCTCTCTCTCTCTCTCTCTCTCTCTCTCTCTCTCTCTCTCTCTCTCTCTCTCTCTCTCTCTCTCTATCTATCTATCCACCTAGCTCTCAGGTAACATTTTACATATATGCTGGGTCAAAATAATGGTATAAGTTATCATCATCTTACATTTTGTGACAATTTTAAGTGTAAACATATTTTGTCATTAAACCTTTTCAATTATAAAGGATGTGCTAACTAGTTTTGATTTGCTATTGACTTTGAAGTGCTGCATATTGCAATACAATATCGTCACTCTATATAACGCTCTCCCACATATTTAGCTATTGTACCTGCGCTTATTTCCGTCGTTGGTATAAGTAACCGGGTGGTAATAGACAAGAAATGTACAGTTTTCTTCCATCTTGCTGACAACGTTTCTTTAGTCATTTGCAGACTGTTCGAGAAGTGTACGGTGATAAAAGAGGTCGGGAGTTTCCACCACTTATAATAATAATTAATGACTCTTTACTCTGTTTTCCAGAGGTCTCTTCATTCGCAGACGCCTGAACGATGATGCATTCTTCTGTGCTGCACTTTCTCGGCTCACTTGTGCAAGATAGACATATTGTGCATCAATCTGTGCAAAACTGTGATGCATAATAGGTCCAAAAACGTGGTAATTGTCGTGCATTCTCTAGAAACAGAAAAATACAACTTTTATCTCAGTAAAATACACATTTTATGTTGCCATGTTAACATAATACTATAATAAACCATAGAACGACTGTAAAAATAATTCAAACAACTTCACAGCTCAAATAATACACACGTTCTGTCAGGATTCATTAAAGTGCTTTTAAATCCTCTCAAATCCGGCCTCTTTCACTTCCTTTGTAAATTCCTTTACCGCTTGATTTTTTTATGAAATGAAAACAAGAGATGAGTCAAAAAGTATTTTTTTGTGGTGATCAACATTACGCCACAAATGCAATTGAGCTCAAATTGTTTTGAATAATATTTTAATTGTTGACATGATCATGGCAGATTTTGATGAGTGTCTGAGAGAGTGAAGCCAGTTTTGCCTCAAATAATTAAATTACTTTAATTGCTTCTTTTCTCAGGTTCAGGCCCCATTAATCATGACAAATGTGAATCAGACATAGTGTCATTGTATTTCTACTGTAAGGTCTCACAATGCATTAAAAAAACACTCGCACTTTTGCAAGGAAGAAGTCCTGAGTTAAATGCAATGCAATATAAAATGTGCATTTTACAGAGATAAAAGTGGTATTTTTCTGTTGCTAGAGAATGCACGACAATTACCAACTTTTTGGACCTATTATGCATCACAGTTTTGCACAGATTGATGCACATTTTGTCTATCTTGCACAAGTGAGCCGAGAAAGTTCAGCACAGAAGAATGCATCATCGTTCAGGCGTCTGCGAGTGAAGAGACCTCTGGAAAACAGAGTAAAGAGTCATTAATTATCATTATTAGTGCTGGAAACACCCGACCTCTTTTATCACCGTACACTTCTCGAAGAAATGTGTGTGTTCTCATGCATGTGTTTGATTTCAACACCTGATCGCCACAGAAGCTCAGAGACGAACAGTGCTTAAAGCCGAAGAGCCACGACACATCTGAATACTGTGAAATATGTGGCTTGAGTTGTGTTGTATGATTATATATATATATATATAGTGTGCAACGGTACACACATCATCAGGGTTTCAGGTTTCTCATCCAATTTATATTCAAACTGTTTGTATTATACTATTACTTTTGAATTAAAGTGTTTTATAATGTGAAGCTGTTTTTGCACTTTCCGACGCATTCATTATTAATTATCAAAATAACTACATCATATACCGTTGCCACTTTAGTTTGCTAAGAGTGACAATTCATAGTATTCATCAGTATTTTGACGCTTTTGATGCTTTAAAAAGTCCAATTATCTTAAATAAGAATTTGACATTTTGGAAATTTCTCAGAGCAGATTCTTACATCAGATAAAGGCCGAGAATTTACAGAAAATGATTATGAGATTAGTTGGAGATGATTGGTTGTTTTAGCGCCTCAGATGAAAGTGTTCGTTCACATTGCCAGTCATTCGAGTAAAAACTCCCCATGAGGGTTTCCTGAAAAGACCTCAAAAGATCAAACTTCAGAAAAGTGGAGGTTATTAATATACAGTAAGTAAACACAGCACTGGTTTTGCAATACAACTGCAGCATTGATAGTGTATGTCCGCCAGTTTAGATATTTGTCATATGGTTAATTTTTTTTAAAATCAAAGTATAACATTAAAAACATTTAATGACTAAGTAAATCAAAAGTGGTGCCAAAGTTGTTGACCACTTTGAAATGAATTATTAAGAAATTTAACTGCATAAACTAACTCTGTAAACGACAAAAAATATTGTGTTAAGTTTAATGGATGAAAAATATGGTTGTAATATAATGATAAAAATTATATGAAAATAAAAAAAACTTGCATTTAATAATTAAATCAAATAAAAGTGGTGCCAAAGTTGCAGTGCGTCTGGTTGACCACTTTAATTATTAATTAAGAAAATGAAACTCCATAAAATTGACTAGAATCTGCTAATAGGATTGTGTTAAGTTTATAGATGAAAAATGTTGTTGCAATGATTAAAAACTACATGAAAATAAAATAAATAAATAGGCTAAATAAAAGAAAACATACGTTTAATAATTAAGTCAAATAAAAGGGGTGTAAAAATTGCAGTGCATCTTTTTGACCACTTTGAATTTAATTATTGATTAAGAAATTTGGCAAAAAATAATTAAGTTGAGCTGGATGTTATAATGAATGAAAAATGTTTTAATATAATCATGAAAAACTACATGAAAAATAAAAAAGTTAAAAATAAATATTAGTTAATATACATTTCTAGTATATATTGTAGAATTAAAATACTGTAAATAATTTTAATTTTTTTTTTACTTTGGTTAAACTGTATGCATATCAGCATTGGTCACCCATCTCTCTCTATACTGGTTTAAAACCCCATCTCAGACCCACTACTGTAAAATACCTCATTTCAGTGACCTCAATAAGTGATGCAAAGATCTTTAAACATTGTTATTTTTCTCCAACAGCCACAAAACAAAGATTAGGCTCTGAAAGAGGCGTTACGTAAAGCATGGACCAGCCCGCGCCGAGTGACCCAGTTCCAGCGATTTCAGTTTTAAACCTGTGCATGCTACAATTTCAACCAGCCAATCAAATCTCTGATTTGTGACTGTGTGTGTGACTGTGTGTGTGTGCTGTGACTCATGGGGGATTACGTGTCTGATGGCTTTGATGTGCGCGACGCTGCCAGGGATGTTTTCTGCTGCACATTAAATGCACCAAAACAGAACCTCGATGCACAACAGAGGAACAGACGCAATAGGAATATTTCTGCGTTTTAAAGTGCCCCGTTACGCTATACTCCTATTGGTTCACATGCATCCATCCGAGGTCAAAAATCACTTCTCATTATAAACATTGCACATCACCTCATTTCTCAAAGGCCGCATTTACATTACATTGTTCAAGTGACCCAATTCAAGTCTTCCTCCCATGTGGCACAGATCGGATATGAGAACGAGTAAGCAGGAAAAAAGCACATGGATTCTGATATTCCCAGATCGGTTCCAGGACTCATTCATATGCGGGAATACATCTGATCCGTGCATTTGTGTCTGACGTGTAACCGGATATTTCCGTCAATGCGAGTCTAACGTCATTGAAAAAGCGAATGATGCAAGCGATCACATGACTCTTTTCAATGGTGTATGAAAGCTCAAGCCGATGTTTTGCTGAACTTTAAAGATGGTGCGGAAAGCAAAAACGTGTATTATCACTTCATCTGCGTCCATTGCATATCGGCTTCAGGTTTTCTGGGTCAGTACGTCTACCTTGGGTGGTTTCAGCAAGTGTATAGTGTAAATGCAGATATCGGATATGGGTCACTGTTAAAAGAAGATGTAAGCTGG